CTACGCTGGTTTGGTCACAGATACTTCCTTAGGAGCAAAGAGAAACCCTTTCCCTGCACCCAAAGATGGGGCTGCCAGCTGGTAGAAGGGTTGGGGGTGAAGGGCTGTTGGCTGCCTCTAGGGCCATCTTCCTGGAGTCAATGAATGCCAAGGGCTCTGCAGAGGCTTCTGTGTCGGCAACCCATGAAGCCCATGGAAAAATCAAGGGCCAGAAACGTGAAGTGGCTCTCACAAGGTCACACTGCGAGGTCTGTCCTCTCACGAGGAGGACAAGCTGAGTGTTCTCCCAGGGCCTCTGGGGCATGGGGTAGGATAGAGCTCTGGCTGTCTTCCAGACAGTCTCTGACCTTCTGGAGAAGGAGAAGGGGTGGTGTTGACCGTCCACCCTCTTCAGCGTGCTGGAAGGTGAGAGGACCATACGACAGCCTCTCCAGGTAAAGAGTGCTCTTCTCTCCCTCTCTTCCCAAGGCCTGGAGTCCTGCCGGGTGTTCAAGGGTCCCTCACCAGGCTGATACGGCTCTGGGAGATGCCAGCACCCCCCAACCCCCAGCTGGGAGAGGATTCAAAATCAGAATGGAGGAGGAGGCCAGGCAAGGACTCACCCTCCCATCCCAAACCCTAGTTATGGAATCCATTCTGACCCAGTTTGGGGTTCTTCTCACGCACCCACACTTGTTCACAAACATCTGTGCCACTCATTCCCACACTTGCATTGGTTTAGGTGCGCGGAATGGGGAGAGGGAAGGGATGGTGAGAAGGGAGCCCCTTTGTGGCTAAAACTTGTTACTGGCTTGCCTGGCGATCCTAAAAATCTGAGACTCAAGAATAGCCAGCGGGCATTACTTCCCCAGGCCAGCTCCCAGGGTCAAGGTGAAGCCCCTCGCACCGCGGAGGTGCTCAGATCTGCAAGGAAGGAGTTAACACACATCAACGTCTTTCTTGTGGAGACTGAGGCGTGGTGTGGGCTAGCCCCAGAGATGAGCGTTCCTCCGGGAGCTTTCTGGGGGGCTTGAGGCTGGGGAGTCCCACCTGAAATGGATGCCCTCCAGCCCTGTGACAAAACGCCTCCATGCTGACGCACGGGTTTTGGTCTCCTTGCCCGCAGGAGACGTAGTGTGACGTACCTGGCATCACATGGCCGGCCAGTGGCAGAGCCCAAACCCGCACCCAGGCCTTCCAGCTCCCAGGCCAGAGCTCTCCCAGCACAGCGCGTTCCTGCCTCTCCTGGGTAGAGAGCTGCCTCTGGGGTGTCGCTAGGTCCAGGGAGGAGGGGAGCAGGAGGTGGCCGGCTGCTGAAGACCCTGAGGGCTTCGGCCCCCCTTTCTAGGAGGTGCCACTCCAGTCCCGGGGCAACCTGGAGGCACATAGGGCACAAGGCTGACTTTGTTCTTCAAGGTAGACTCCTCCTTCCCATGTGTCCCTAAGGGTTAGGCCTTGAGCTCCCTGAAAAGCACAGTTGAACCGGAAGACCTGGGTTCAAATCCCAGCTCAGCCACTTTCTAGCTATTTGACCCTGCTGTACGTTACTTAACTTCTCTGCACCTTTGTTTCTTCAACCGTAGAATGCATGGGTCACGAAATGACAAAGAAGGTGGTAGAGGGGCACGAGAGACGATGCAAGGACCGGCAGCTGGAAGCCAGCGCGCACTACAATCGGTGGTTCAACAGACAGTAACTGTGCGCCTGCTGGGGGCCAGGCACCGTGCTAGACGCCCGTCAGTCTCATGAGAGCTTAATGGACATGGAGCACAAAGTAGGGAAGAACTAAGAAGAAAAAGAACATTCCGTGCTGCTTCGCCCGGCTCTCAGGTCCTGCCCGGAAGAATGCTGTGTAACGGGCCTGGCTCCTCTCACGGTGCGTCTCTATCTCCAAGACCTGGATGCTCTGTTCTGAAGACTACAGGGAAGTTCCACCTGGTTCTGCTGGGAGGGAAGCTGGAGATAACAGGGCTGGGAAGCAGGCCTCCCAAAGGCCCAGGCCTGCCCAGGGGAGGGCACAGCTAGATCACAACCTCCCCCTCTCCTCTGGCATGAAGCTCTCCTCCCTGGCAGCGAGGCATTGGGCATTAGAGGAAATCTACCCCAGCCCAGGAGCGGGGGGATTACTCTGCTGGTAAACCCTGACTCCCTATAATCCTAGTGCTCAGAGAAAGAACGCTAAACTCAACTCCCCCCTACCCAGTTCAGACCAGTTCCGTGTTAGAGCACCTGCCCATGCTTTCTTCCTCTTCTTCGTCCTCCTGACCTCTTCCACATCGTGCCCTCAATCTCCCCCTGCCCCTCGATTCAGTCAGCACCATTTAATGAGACACGCCCCTCACCTACAATACTGACTCCTCCATCCTATGCCCTAAGAACATTCCACCCCTCTCACTTGTCTCTTCTGTTCAGGCAAACTGGGGGGCTGCGTCATTTTGTGGTTATGAACAACGTGCTGGTATGACCTGGTAATGCCTTAGACATCCAAAAGAACATCCATCTTGCCTTTGAGGCTTCAGGAAGCATGTTTTCCAGAAAGCTAGCCTGATGAGATGTATATAAAGCCCTATGCTACTGGGCCCAACTAGAGGGCCTTCGGGCTTTAGAGTACGAAGTGGAGCATCTATTAACAGAGGAGGGCTGAGAAGTGTCTGGGGTATTGGCAGAGTCCCTGTGGACAGCATGAGTGCTGCACAACTCCAGGGGGCGCCCTCACATTGTGGGCGCTCTAGGATTGTGCAATGCAGGGGCTCTGAGCCCTCAGCCCCTGCCCTTCTGCAGAAGCTGCCAACGGGTCCCCAGAGCCAGAACCCCCTGCCCAGCCTTCCCTGGCCTCCTCCTCTCCCTGATCCTGTCTTCCCCCAGCCAACGCTACCTTAAATGGGGTTTTAGAGGACATTTTCCCTAAAAAAGCCCAAGGCCGCCCATCTTACTACGTGCCCTAAAGCTTTCCATGAATCCTAGGGTGTCCGGCCCTGCAGAATTTATAATCGGTGCCTTTCTTCTGGTGAGCATGAGAGGAAGGAGGAAATGATTGGCACCAATACAGGGAGACAGGTGGGCAGCCCTGGGCCGGGGGTTAAGCAGTCAAGTCATTTAGCCTCACCCACAGCGTTGGCTATTGGAAGCAGGTAGAGGAAGAGAGATGGGGAGGCATCTTTATTTTTAAACCTTTACGTTCTGATAAGCATTTCTTTTCCCCCTGACCTTCACCAGTCTTGCTTCAGAAGATCAAACCGCCAGGCCAGCAAGTCAGAGGGAGGCCTGGACCGGTGACACATGGATTGGGGATGGACCAGCCTGCAGCTGCCCCCTCGCTGCTATGGCCAGGCTGCTTCCCAGGCAGTGGCAGGAGGCTGCACCTAATCTGTGCTGGGCCTGCAGGGGCCTCGGAAAAGGCCTTGCTGGGACTCCTGCCTCCCTTGGTTGGACCAGCTGTGCCTCCTCTGGGACCCAGGCCCCTCTGCCCCAGATGACCTGGCTGCATGCGATGCTCTCTGATGACTTAAAACCTACTGGTTAGACTTTGAAGAGAAACTGTCACTTGTCTCACGGTAACAAAAAGATCCATATCTCTGCCTTTTCACATCATTTGGCTGGATAGTGTATGAAGTATGTGTGTTTTAAACACATTTCTAAGGAACTTCTGGATGCCTACAATTTAAGAGAAGATGAGAAAGGTCACAGTGTGGCCAGTGTTGTGCCTGGTGGGTCTGATGAGGGACCTTGGCAAGTGAAAAGTGAGGCCTGGGGACGTATTAGAGGCTTTCTGCGAGCTGGCAGGCATCTGAGAGCACTAGGTGGCCAGGACCAGCATTCTTCTCCCCTGGTGCATCCGCATCGGGGCCCATCCTCCACCTTACACCCGGCCCCCTTCTCTGGGTTCCAGCCACGCCCTCTGCCACCGGCACCTCCCCCGCTCAGCTCCTACTTCCCCCTTCTGGGAACGCAGTCTCCGGTTTCCCCTCTGATCTACAGGTGCTCGTAAACAAAGTGCTGCAGCAAAGCCGGCTAGTCCGCAGCCGCCTCCCCAACCCCCACCAGGCTAAGTTCGGCCCAAGGTTAAACCAGGGTTCGGGCAGGCGTCCCCGAAGGGACCCCAGACCCAGCTCCTCGGCTCTCGCCTCTGCTCTTCAAGACCACCGGGCTGCAGAGTCTTTCCTCCGCATGGGAGTCTCTCCCTTCTCTGGGCCCGGCTTCCCCACAAAAGGCTGGTCCTGGAAAACCAGCCTCCGTGAGCTCACGCCACTCTGCATGGGGACCCCAGACCTGGCTCTGGTGGCCACCCGGAGGTGGCCTCGGCTATTTTCACTGCCGTCGTCCGCCCCCAATCATGGACACGCCTTTCACCAAGTCGCCTAATGAAGATTGCTAGGACACCTACCCCCAACCCCAATTCAAAGTCCCAGCCCAGGGCTCTGTCCCCGTCTGTCCTCCCTCCCCCAAAGCCCAAGGTGGGAATAGAGGGCACTCGCGCAAGACGATGCTACCTACCCGCCGCCGGCCGCACCCAGACCTGCCCCTTCTGCAGTGCCCCGTATGTGGCGCCTGCAGCATCCACACGGCTGGGGGCAGGCCTGGGGCCTCTTTTTTTTCCACCAAAAAAAGGGGAGCCGGTCGGGGGTCCAGCCGCAGCCAGGGCTCCCACCTCTCCCGCCCTGTACCCCCCTTGCATCCCGCGCCCGTCTCCGCGCCCAACCTGCAGTGGCGACCGTGTCTGGCGCACGAGCCCCGGGAGCAACTCCTTGCCCGGGACTCGCCCGGGGCGGCTGTGGGGCTTGGGGTCCCGGGCCGGGGGCGGGTGATGGGGGAATGATGGTCTCGGGGAGGGGGCACCGAGCTGGGCCGGCGACGGCTGGCGGGAGGGTGGGTGCGCGTTGTTTACTCTCGGTGCGGTCTGCCGGCTGGGCTGCGGAGCCGGTGGCTGCGACGTGCCGCCGCCGCTCCCGGCGCTTGGGGTTCCGCTCCGAGCCTTCCTCCCCAAACCCGCGCCCCCGGCCCTGGCGGCCCTGCAGACTCACGTCTCGAAAGCGGTTCCAGTGCTTGATCTTGCCGCTATACTGCGAGATGGACGACAGCCATTGCTCGTCCTCCATGAAATTGCCGGGGGTCTCGCCCTCCTTGAACCCTTTGGCGTCGCCTTCGGCCAGGGCGGCCGCGGCGAGGAGCAGCAGCGGCAGCACCAGCCGCCCGCAGCCCGGGGTGCGCATCGTGGTCAGGGTCCGACCTGGGGGAAGGGGGGTCTTGACTTCTGCAGTATTTTAATGTCCTTCTTTCCACCCCGCGGTTGGCGAAGCAAACGCCGTAGTCTTCCTCCGCCCTCCTCCTGCGGTCTGACTCCGGTGACAGACAGATAGTGGGTCGCGGCTGAAATGTGACCTGGTTAGGAGATGCACTTGTCTGAAAAAGCCCAGCGCTGGACGCGGAGAGGGAGAGAGAATCAGAGAGGCTGCGCCAGCAGGGGCCGTGTCTGTAACTGTAGCATCAGCATCACGTTTGACATCATCATACCTGGTTAAAAAAAAAAAAAAGAAAAAGAAAAAACGAAAACGGAAAAAAAAAAAAAAAAAGAGGGGGTAGATTTCAAAGGGAAGCGCTACATGAGAGCGCCAAACGCCAACCAACCGCAGCAGAACCCAGCCCAGCCCAGCACTTAAGGAGTTGCAAACCAAGGAATCCAAATCCTGAGATGTCCCTGCTATCTCTCCATGGGAATAGGGCAAGAAAAAGGGCCCCCCCCCCCCGGGGGGGGGTCTCCCCAGGGAAGATGGGAGTGGGGAGGACACAAATCTCTCCAGTTACAAAGCCAGTAGGCGCAGGTGTCTAAAAGGGAATTTGGCCACAGACGCTGTGTCTCCCCTTGCCTGCCACCCGGAGGGGCCTGTGCCACAGCCCTGACAGCTGGCTTCCTTCGAGTTATGGCTCTGACAGTAATGGGTGGCTTCGTTAAGACAAAAGCCATTGAACAACTGGCTGCCTCCAAACTATTGCTCCCCAGCCCCACATGCTTTTTTCCAGGCAAGGCCGAAGCCCTGAATGGCTGGTAAGAGAGGCAGATGTCCTCCTCCCCAAGCAGCTGTTTCAGGGCTTCACCCCTTTTGTTAGCCCTTTCTAGGGCAACCCTAAAAGGCAAACGTCTGACCATCTCATCTGCCTTGGGGCTGCACATTTGGAAAAGGCGCATTTGTTCGTGCTTTTGACTTCAACTTGTTTGTAATAAGCCACTGGGGAAGGGGGTTGGAGGGGAGGCTGGTTTTGTCTGAGGTGTTTAGGTTTTTGTTAAAACTGTGACCCTTATCATTGCCTGTGAAAATGTGTTGACATCCCAGCTGGGAAGGCTGGAAGCTGGGCAGTCCCAGGATCAGAGCAGAAATGGGGTGAGGTTTACATTACAAATAAATGGAAGAGGAAACATGGAGAATCTAACAGGACAAAACATAATGAACTCTTGGGACCCAAGCCCTAGATTGTGTTTTTATAAAAAGACTTGGTTGCTGTAGTCTTAAAAAAAAAAAAAAAAGAAAGAAATCAAAGGCAATGAAAAACATGATCTTAATCGGTAGGAAAAAACACAGGTTAGAAGGTTCATAGTCACCCTGAATCCGGCTTGCCTGGGAATTCTGACTGCATCAATGGCTTGGCCTGGGGTCCCCTTAGGAAAACAGAAAACAATAGCTCCTTTTCCGTGTTTTCTTTTTCCTTTGCGGTTGGATTTAGAGGTGGTGCTGCAGGGCGGCTCTGGCTGTTGATGTCCTGGTCTCCCAGTAAGTAACAGCAGCCTTGCCGGGTTGTTTAGCAACACTGTATAATGGGAGAGCAGTTTCTTGTCAGATAGACTGGGGGTGGAAGCCCACTTACCTGCTGTGTTATTCGGCAGGTTCCCTAATCTATTTTCTATCTGTAACAACAATACCATCTATCTCAGAATAATTCTGTGAAACTCATGCAAAACTCTATGATAAGTAGGACAGTGGGCATTTGAAAAACGTTAGTTATTTTCTCACGTCAAGAAGAGAAGGCTCTGATGCCCCGTGGTTCTCAAGATGTCCTGAAATTTGCCATCTTTTCCCACCATCTCAATCCTAGTCTTAGCAAAGCTCACTGTGTATGTCCAAGGCACTGAGGAAGTAGATTCTAGACATAGCTCTCCCATTCCAGTGCTATCTTATAAAGTCCCTGGTCTTCTAGAATTACCAAAGTTGCCCAATAGTTTGGACAGGCACTGACAAGATGCCTATCAATAAGACAATAGATGTTTCCAGACTTTTTTAAAAAAGATTTTATTTATTCATTTGACAGAGAGAGATCACAAGTAGGCAGAGAGGCAGGCAGAGAGGTGGCGGGGGGGGGGGGGAAGCAGGCTCCCCGCTGAGCAGAGAGCCCAATGCAGGGCTCCATCCCAGGACACCGGGATCATGACCTGAGCCAAAGGCAGAGGCTTTAACCCACTGAGCCATCCAGGCGCCCCGATGCTTCCAGACTTTTGAAGGTCAAAATGTTTCCCACACTCCCAGGCAGCTCCTCCAGTGGGACTGGTCTTCTGCAACACCTTCAAGGTGGGTCAGCTGATTTACGCCAGAAGCAAATCAACAAGAGTCCAGGACTGTTAGTTAAGTCCAACAGCAAAGCCAATTTAGGGGAGAGAGCCAATTTTCCAGATGACAGGTAAAAGAGTTGTAGAAATGGTTACCACGTATAAAGAAGAAAAGGTTTTCCTAACCTTTGAGAGAATTCCTAGGTTGGCCTTTTCAAGTGAATGGGCCCAAAAGCTGCTGGGTATATTTGTTACATGGTATGTATGCTTTATGCATTTTTTTATGTTTGTATTTAGTACCTAGCAATACAAAATGGAGGGGCCTTAGTTTCTAAATAAGAGACTTAAATTTAACATCTTTAAAACCACAAAATCTCGTTTCTGGATGACCTCACAAGCATTAAAAAAAAAAAAATGCACAAAGATACTCAATCCAGAATTGTTTATAATAGCCAAACCTGGAAACCAACTCATTGTTAGTCAGAGACCAGCTAGTTAACGTAACATACATACACACAATGAACTATTGCAAAGATATTAAAACTCATGGAGATCTGCATCTGTTCACAACTAAGGTAACCCACTACGTATTCCTGGATGAGAAAAGCTTGTTACAGAAGATCATGTGTAATACGATCCCATTTGGAAGAAGTACGGTAGGGCACAGCAGTCGTCAAGCTTTCTCATCTCGGGGGTCCTTTACACTAAAAAATTATTGAGGACTCCTACCAACTTTTATTTCTATGAGACATATAGACATAAATATCATCTATTGTACTTGAAAATAAAACTCAGCCTGCCCCTAAATTTTGCTGTGAACTAAAACTGCTCTTAAATCTTTAAAGAGACTCTTAAAAAGTGAAAAAATGTTTTAAAATAGCAATAAGGAAACCATTACATATTAACAAAATAATGTGTTTTATGAAACACAGCTATATTCCCCCTCCCAAAAAAATTAGCAAGAAAGGGGGCACTGATGTACATTTACTGTCTGGTTCAAAAGAAGACAGGCGGATTAGCTTCTGCATTAAAACAAGGATATTACGGGCACCTGGGTGGCTCAGTCGTTAAGCGTCAGCCTTCTGCTCAGGTCATAATGCCAGGGTCCTGGGACTGAGTCCCACATTGGGCTTCCCACTCAGCGGGAAGTCTGCTTCTCCCTCTCTCACTCCCCTTACTTGTGTTCCCCTCTCGCTGTGTCTCTATCAAATAAATAAATAAAATATTTTTAAAAAATAACAAGTATACTAGTTTGTTAGGACTGTCATAACAAAATACCACAAACTGGGGGTGGCTTCAACAACAGAAGTTTATTTTCTCCAAGTCCTGGAGATGAGAAGTCCAAGATTAAGGTGTTGCTAGGTTTGCTTTCTCCTGAGATCTTTCCTCCTGGCTTGCAGATGGCTGCCTTCTTGCTGGGCCATATATGGTCCTTCCCTTATTCACGCACATGTCTGGTGCTTTTTTTCTTTTGATTGTCAAACACCCCTTTATTGAAGTATTTTCCTTTCTAGTCCTTAACCAGACATTTCACCACACCACTGCTGATGTCACGAAGGCAGCATTCATCCACACTGCAGCCCACGGATCAGGGCAGAGGCAGAAGGAACTACCTCAGTCTGAGCCCGTCTGCCCTGGACGGTCAGTTTCACCAAAATCCTCAGACCCTTCCAATCACCAGGTGCCTTGGTGATGTCATCACCAACCTTCTTAGAAGAAAGACAGGGGTGGGGGGGGTGGATCTCAGAGGCCAGGGGTCTAAAGTATCCTTAAAAGCCTCAGCCTCATTTTTACCTGATCACCTCTTTAGGGCCCTATCTCCAAACACAATCACATTCTGAGCTACTGGGGGCGGGGCGGGGAGGTTTAGGGCTTCAGCATATGAATTCCTAGGGATATAATTCAGCTTGTAACAGCAGATAAAACTGAAAATAGCTAGTAAGAGCACAATAGAAATACTGAGAGCAAACTGAGTTAATGTCTAAAAACATATTACTTATAAACCTGCTGACTTATAAAATTCTAGAAAACACAAAAACATACGAGCACATATTCCATTAACCATCACAGTGATGATGTCACCATGTCACATAGCCACTGGAAAACTCCACTGTATACTCACGAGAGAATGAGAGTGAAAAAAACATAAATCTTGGTGTTTTTTTTTTTAAGATTTTATTTATTTGAGAGAGAGAGAGAGAATAAGAGAGGAGAGGTCAGAGGGAGAAGCAGACTCTCTGCTGAGCAGGGAGCCCAGTGGGGACTCAATCCCGGGACTCCAGGATCATGACCTGAGCCGAAGGCTGTTGCTTAACCAACTGAGCCACCCAGGTACCCCATATCTTAGTATTTTTAAGAAAACAGTGTGGACCTCACTCATAGCCCTAAAAGGTTCCCAGGGATTCCCAGGGGTCCAGAGGCCACATTTGAAGAACTGGTGGTATAAACTGTTATGACCTCAGGCAAATCTCTTAACCTCCTTATGCCCCAGTCTATAAAATGAGGGTAATGATAATACCAACTTAAGTAGGCTGTTGTAAAGATTAATAAATTAATACTCAGGGCGCCTGGGTGGCTCAGTCGGTTAAGTGGCTGACTTCAGCTCAGGTTATGACCTCAGGGTCCTGGGATTGAGCCCCGCATCGGGCTCCTTGCTCAGCGAAGGGGGGGGGGGCAATGGATCCGCTTGAGATTCTCTCTCTACCCCCCCTTTCCCCCACTGCTTGCATGTGATCTCTCAAATAAATGAAATCTTAAAAAAAAATGTTAATACACAAATTACAAATGTGAGCATTCTGCAAATATTAACTGTTATTTGTGAGACATTATGTAACAATTTGATATGATATGTGCTCAAATGCACAGGGAGTAGTAACCTCTGGATGATGAAATCTGTTCTTTTTCTTTTTTTCTTTTTTTAAAGAATTTATTTATTTATTTGACAGAGAGAGATCACAAGTAGGCAGAGGCAGGCAGAGAGAGAGAGAGGAAGAAGCAGGCTCCCCACTGAGCAGAGAGCCCGATGCAGGACTCGATCCCAGGACGCTGAGATCATGACCCGAGCCGAAGGCAGAGGCTTTAACCCACTGAGCCACCCAGGCGCCCCTGAGATCTGTTTTTAAACCACCATCTAAACTGAAGTATAAAATACACACTGAAAATCCTAAAGGGTACAGCTGATGACCTGCCACAAGGTAAGCGTATGTGATCTTCTGTTTAAAAGAACACTTTAGGGCGCCTGGGTGGCTTAGTGGGTTAGGCCTCTGCCTTCAGCTCGGGTCGTGATCTCAGGGTCCTGGGATGGAGTCCCACATCGGGCTCTCTGCTCAGCGGAGAGCCTGCTTCCCCCCCGCCCCCCTCTGCCTGCCTCTCTGCCTACTTGTGATTTCTCTGTGTGTCAAATAAATAAATAAAATCTTAAAAAAAATAAAAATAAAAATAAAAGAACACTTTAGGCACCTGGGTGGCTCAGTGGGTTAAGCCTCTGCCTTTGGCTCAGGTCATGGTCTCAGGGTCCTGGGATAGAGGCCTACATCGGGCTCTCTGCTCAGCAGGGAGCCTGCTTCCCACACCCCTCTCTCTCTGCCTGCTTTTCTGCCTACATGTGATCTCTGTCAAATAAATTTTAAAAATCTTAAAAAAAAAAAAAAAGAACACTTTATTAACAACAAGAAAGCTATAAAAACAGCCCCGATGGCAGCCCATCCTCTCGCCTGTGGTGTCCTGCAGTATCCAGGTTCCCTGGAGGCATCAAGGGAGCATCTGAGAGGTGTTCCTCGCTCAGCACCCTGGTGCTGTGGGGTTCCCTTCCACTCCAGGGAGAGGGCGTGGCACAGGAGTGAATCAGAACAAGCTTTGGGTCTTTAAGAAGCTGAATTCTCAGCAGTGTCCACTCTAGTAAATTCTGGAGCTCACTTAAACATAACCACCACAAAAAGTGACTTTCACATGTTTCCACCATGGGTATGGAGTTTGTCCGGGACTAACTCCTTGTGTCCCCTCCCAAAAAATCAAGATTATTCTCCCGTGATGAAGTCTCTTATGTAACAACACAGATCTTGTGTGATAACTGCAGTGAGAGACCGTTTTCCCTCCTGCTCTTCAAGGATCTGATGGTGAAGTCAGTGTCTCAAAAAACCGCCTGAGAATGATGGGAGCTGCGATTTAATTTTATTCCAGTGCAGAATGAATTGCTAAGTGATATTATTAAAGGAGATTTGTTTATAAACACAAGTAGCAAATCTTCCAACATGTACCCCACTACAAGTTGGCAGGAGGGGATCCCAAATCTTGGAAAATTACAACTTACAAGGTTCTAGGAAACACAAAAATACCGAAGTACAAGCTCTGTTAACCATTAGAGTGAAGATGTCACTAAGTCATGTAGCCTCTGGAAAAACCCACTGTAGAGTCGTGAGAGAAGGAGAGTGAAAAAGGTAAATTACTTGTGAAAAATTACTTAGTAATACAATAGGTCCTTAAATGCAGAATTTAGGATTTGGGGGATGCCTGGTTAGCTCAGTGGGTTAAGCCTCTGCCTTCGGCTCAGGTCATGATCTCAGGGTCCTGGGATCGAGCCCCACGTCGGGCTCCCTGCTTGGTGGAGAGCCCACTTCTCCCTCTCCCTCTGCCTGCCTCTCTGCCTACTTGTGATCTCTCTATCAAATAAAAAAGAATTTAGGATATACAAGGTTACATCTTCCAAAGATAAAACTTAAAAAAAAAGATTTACTGGAAACACAGGTCATACATCTCTGACATTGAAAATAAGACATTTTTACTTCCTGGGGGCCAAGGCTACCGGGCGGCAGGTGTCGAAAAGAAACCAATAGGAGAGAAGTGCTGGGATGAGATGAGGACACCAAGCTCCACTTTTCAGTATGATCCCTTGGAGCACTCCTTCTCACGTGCCATCTAACCTCTGGCAGTAAACGAGGTAAAACCTCAAATAAAAATAAAAAACGAACGTTCCTAGAAGAAAGCATCTGGGGGAGAAACCACCTGCAGGCACTCCTATGTAAGCTCCAGATGAATGATACAGCGATGCTAGGGCGTCCATGAGGGCAGCATGGTGTCCCAACACGCCCCGACAAAGGGGGTCAAGCTAAAACTGTGCGATAATACTAGAGAAAAACACAGTGGCTTTGGTATATGTGCTGCCGAAGCGAGCACAAACACAGTGGCTTTGGAAATTCATTTATTCACAAATGATCTGTGCAGTCACACTGAGGAGCAAATCCAAGGCGGCCTTAATGCACAGGGTTCAGAAGGAGACTTCTCAAACGTAGAGAATCAAAGTAAGAGTAAGGAATGAAGGGAGGACAAAGAAGGGACACGGAGGAAGAGGGATGTGAACAGGAGGAGATGAGGGTGAGCCTGAGGCCGGAGCTCCCCAGCAGACCACGTGGCAGGACGGGTGGGTCAGGGAAGGTGTGCTGCAAGCCCCCTCCACCCAACGGTCCCCGGCAAGGAAGAAGGAGCTTCTGCAGCTGCCCTTGTCCCAGGGAACCCCGCATCCTCCTGCCCTATCCTCACTATTTCTACTGCTGCTGCTTTGAAGGAAATATAAAAGAGCCATGATGCCATAATGCCATCAGGGGCGTGGGAAGCCTGGAGGGTAGGGGAAGGTAAGGAATGGGAACCTAACACACATAAAAGGGTGCCAAGTTCAGAAGAGGACAGACCAAAGTAAAAGATAAAAACTTTCAGTTATTTTGCTAAAGATAAAATTCTGAGCAGTAAAGGAACTAACAGCAGAATCGCAAAGAGATCCCTCTACACCCATGTTCACTGAGCACTACATCCACAACAGCCGAGGGGTCAAGGAACCCAAGAGCCCAGTCGTGGCTGAAGAGATAAACCAAACGTGGTGTACATGTACAAAGGAATATCATTTGGCCTTTTTAAAAGGGAGGGAATTCTGACAAGTGCTACAACATGGATAAACCTTGAGGATGTTTTGCTAAAGTGCAGTAAGACAGTCACAAAAAGACAAATACTGTATGATCCTACTTCCATGGGGTATCCAAAGTAATCAAATTCATAGAGAAAGTAGAAGGGTGGTTGCCAGGGACCTGGGGGAGAAGGAAATGGAGAGTTGTTAAATGGGTATAGTTTCAGATTTGCAAGATGGGAAAGTTCTGGAGATGTTTCAGAACAATGTGAGGACACGTAACAGTGCGGAACTAGACAGTAACAAATGGTTAAAATGGGAAACCATATGTTGTGTGGTTTTTACCATATTAAAAAAGAACTTCTGGGTCGTGATTAAAAGTTAAGGTACAGGGGAACCTGGGTGGCCCAACTAGTTGAGCATCTGCCTTCGGCTCAGGTCGTGATCCTGGGGTCCTGGGATTGAGCCCCGCATCAGGCTCGCTGCTCAGCAGCGAGTCTGCTTCTCCCTCTCCCACTCCCCCTGCCTGTGTTCCCTTTCTCGCTGTCTCTCTTTCTGTCCAATAAATAAATAAAATCTTAAAAAAAAAAAAGTTAAGGTACAGGGACGCCAGGGTAGCTCAGTGGATTAAGTATCCGACTTCTGATTTCACCTCAGGTCATGATCTCAGGGTCGTTGAGACTGGACTTCATGCTCAGCGCAGAGTCTATTTGGGTTTTCTCTCTCCTTATCCCTCTGCCCCTGCCCTGCTCGCTTTCTCTCTAAAATAAATAAAATCTTCAGGGTGCCTGGGTGGCTCAGTGGGTTAAGCCTCTGCCTTTGGCTCAGGTCATGATCTCAGGGTCCTGGGATTGAGCCCCGCATCAGGCTCTCTGCTCGGTGGGGAGCCTGCTTCCCCTTTCTCTCTCTCTCTGCCCACCTCTCTGCCTACTTGTGATCTCTCTCGGTCAAGTAAATAAATAAAATCTTTTTAAAAAATAAATAAATAAAATCTTTAAAAAAAAAGTTTAGGTCTAAAGGGAAGTAAAAATCAAACCTTCTAAAAACTGCAGACATTTGATTTAGGTGGAGAGAGTAACAAAACCAGGTCTTTAATTCTCTTTTAAAGTACTACTATGAAAGAGTTTAATGGCTGTAGGAAAATCCATAGGTGTATAAGAAATAACGTGAATCTCAGCTCCAATGGGCTTGAGACGTACAATTCCAGAGAAGACCTTCAGAAAGAAAGGCAGACCCTATGAAAGACGAACAAGCCACGGGTTACACTACCTTGTGCCTGCAGCCACTTTAGCTGACAGACAGTTTGAGGACTGGGGACAACCATGAGAGACCATGGTTTGTGCGTGGAGCCACCCAGGAAAGTCACCATCCAAATTATTCCGTCCCTCTTCAGTAATTCAAACAGAGGTATTTTCCCTCAGTACCCGGTGAGGATGTTCAACTTCTAGCACTTCCCAAGATCCACCTCAGGAGAAGTCAATTTGCCCACAGGAAGCGTAGTTTCCAAAGCTGTCTACCGTGAACCTCTGAGAGATGTGAATTGAATTGAGCTTCAGGGTACCAAAGTAGAAGTTCTCAAAGAGCTGAAAAGAAAGAATACAAACCCACAATGAATATCCAAAGGAAACTACAGATGAAAATAGCAGCCATCAGATTCTCTTGTAAAAACACTACAACAATCCCAACAAACCTCTCGTGCTTTTTTTCAGTGTTTGTTCTGAAAAACGATCCTGGAGAGAAGGGACGGGAGTGGGAGAAGGAAGAGAAGAGAAGCTCTTCTCTCTGGTGCATTTTAAAACCTCCACTGATGAAAGACACTAAGGAAAGAGGGCTGAAAGGTCAATTCCAAAATTTATCTACTAAGCACCCATGACCAAGAACTTGTAACAAACATCCTGGGGCTACACTCTGAGTCATAGCACCTAACAAAGCTGCTTGACGACTTTCAGTTCCTGACTCTACAGGGTCAGTATTTTGTTACAGACAGGACAAAATCTGATTGCATTCCTCTACCGAGTCAACAACATGTAGTAGAAGCACCCATTAAAATAAATAGAAGATAAGGTTCCTAACCCACCAGTGATTCTGCCAACCCCGAGAGGAATCCAGAACATTCAGGCATACCAAACAGCCTTCTACTGGACGGTATCACACATGCAAATGATAATATTTATCAAAAAACCTTTTACTCAACTTGGACTGAAGCCAGCATCCTAAAGTAAACGCTCTTTACTGCAATTCTTTACTTTAAAAGCTTTCAAGTGTGTCAGACGGAGGGATGAGCTATACTCTGAGAGGGACCTGCCCTCGTGATTAGCACATATGTAAGGCAGAATCCAAAATGACATCAGGGCGCATCTCAGATGGGCGCCTGGGTGACTCGGTTGGTCAGGCGTCTGCCTTCAGTTCAGGTCATGATCCCAGGGTCCTGGGATCGAGTCCTGATTCGGATTCCTTGCTCAGAAGGGAGTCTGCTTTTCCCTCTCCCTCTGCCTGCCACTCTCCCTGCTTGTGCTCTCTGTCAAATAAATAAATAAAATCCTTAAAAAAAAAAAAAACTCGTCTCAGAAAGTTAACTGCTTAGATAACGGTGTCGAAGTGTAAAGGGCTTATGTGCTTCTGTTAGGATGCAAGAGCTGCTGTTTCTTAAAATGTCAGTAAAATCCCAAGAAAGCCAGCCTTTCCATACACATACCCAAGAAAAGCTTGGGTAGAATCTAGGGTGGGCCCTTTGCACAAAAGCAAGTGACCGTCTCTACACTTATTTTTGCACAAGCTCCATAGCCATGGACTTCAGCCACTGTCGCCTTCCCTCTTCCTGCAATTAGCAGCCTAGCAAAATGCTTGGGGTTCATTAAGGCTGACTTTATAAAGCCCAGTAAATATTGATTCTTCCACATGACATCAACTTGACCCCAAAGATCTATTTAGAGGTTGTATGCTGCATGGTCTTGTCTTTCAGAAAGGTGATCAGCTCTTGGCTGCATTGATTTACGCAATTAACTTCTCTTCCTGGCTTTGGCAGCCTGTTCAAACCATATCCACCCTTTTGCGTAAAGAAACACAGCCTGAAATGGTTATCTGCTAATCCCTTTGTTGAACCTTAATTCGAAGTGAAAGCCACGTCAAGACTGGCAGATTGATAGCTTTGCAAACTGAAGCCTTGTAGTTTCAAAAAAGATATAACCAAAGGGGCAATAAAAGACAAGACAAAACAGAACAAAAAGGGAACTCATAATACTTTCAACAAGTTACTGTTTCAGGCTTAGCAGCCTAGGGGTCCTCTACCGTCCATCCGCTGTGCCTAGGTTTCCAAGCGACAGAGCCACGGCAAGGGGCTGCCAAACGATGTGCCTGACCTCACTTTGTCTTATGTGGACAACCTCTGCACGGTGTGACAGCCAGCGAGCTCCTCATGCTTGAGCTTTAAAGTAAACAGGAAAAACGGTGATAAGAGCAGCCTGGAGAAGAATTCGGCAGTCGGTCTACACTCACGGCCAGCCCACAGAAGCTGCATGACTGTGCGAACGTGATCAGAGTGGCCAAGATCCGGTGGGATGAACAAGTCAAAGTCCCTTCCTTGTAAACTCTAAGGCTCTGCTGAAAATTAAGTATTTCCTATGATGTTTTTGAAATCTCTCTGCTCTCCTTAACTCTGGACTTATTTTACCTTTCTGAGTTGCCGCCGGTCTTTCGTACCTTTGGTAATGTCCCAAACAAATGGATTTCTTACCAGATGTCCCTAGAGCGGGGCTGATCGTCCTTGAGCCCCTCCTATCTCCATGCTCTTATTCCCTCTGTATGTTGATGAGGATTTCGTAACCATTTTTCACCATTCTCCTATTTAGGCCTTGTTGTGTACCTTCAGTCTTAAAGCCTTTCTTTCAGTTCTATCAATTATTTCTAGTGACTCATTAAAATACGAGCTCTGTAAAGAGGAACAATCTTGTGTGTTATTCACAGCTGAATACTAACATACGCTGGAACCATACCTAGTAGACTGTGTATGGTCAATAAATATTTGCTAGAGAGAATGACAACGAAAACTAACGTTGTACATGTCTGCGTACCTTATCTGAAAAGTGAAAGCTATGACATGGGCTTGTTCAGACTGGATTTGAAGGTCTTACTTACAGGTCACCACCTAGAAACCCTTGAACAGACTCACCAAATTATATTCTCTCTAATCATATCTAAACTGTAACTAGTTGTCAAGAAAGAATTTGCTGTTAATAATGGAAATTTCACATACTCCTTTAAATTTCTTTTTTTTTTAAATAATTTTTAAATTTATTTGTCAGAGAGAGAGAGAGAGAGAGCATAAGCAGAGGGAACAGCAGGCAGAGGGAGAGGCAGGCTCCCCACTGAGCAAGAAGTCCACATGGGACTCGATCCCAAGACCCTGGATCATGACCTGAGCAGAAGGCAGATGCTTGACCGACTGAGCCACCCAGGCACCCCTTCTGTGTTTCTTATCTGTTAAAGCCTAGATCCCTTTTTTTTTTTTTAATTTTTTTTGAAGACTTTATTGACTTATTTTACAGAGAGAGAGACAAGCAGGGGGAGTGGGAAAGGGAGAAGCAGGCTCTCTGCCGAGCAGGGAGCCTGATGAGAGGCCCGATCCCAGGACCCTGAGATCATGACCTGAGCCGAAGGCAGAGGCCCAACCCACTGAGCCACCCAGGCACCACCCTACATCCCTTTCTTAGCTCAAATTCCTGATCTGGAATGTCACTGAGCACCTGATTCCATGCGTTTTCACACAAAGGCACACGATATAGTTCTCTCAAGGGCTTACCATCTAGTTAGGGAGGCAGGGTGTGAATCAGAAGAGAGGAATGTGGATGACATGGGTGTGTTCACCTTGTGAAAAGTTACTGATCTACTTTGTGATCTGGGCACCTCTGGATTATGTTCTACTTCAATGAAAAGGTTTACCTTAAAAAAAAAAAAAAAGAAAAGGTTTACCTAAAACAACATAGGGGCCAGAGGTTAAGCCTGAGAGGGGAGGTCCAGACAGCTAATACATGCAGCGAGGCAAGAAAACAATGGGCGCCAAAGGCACAGAGGCCAGCCAGCGGGCTGGAGGAGATGGGAGCCGAGCTGGGCAGCATAAAGGCAGAAATGGGCACAGTGGGCCAGTCCATGCCCATTAGGTTAAGTGTTTAGAGGGTCCCTAAAGAGTCATAGTGAAAAAGACTCAGTAAGGCTAGAGACAGAAGAACAGTGAATCACACAAAAGGACCCTGAGGGTTGGGTTCAGAAGGCAGACTCCATTCTAGATGGTAAGAACCACTGAAGGTTTCTGAGTAGGTTGGTGGGCCGACACAAAAACCGTCTTAAGGAAACTGATCTGGGTGTGGTATACTGTGGTGCCTGGAGGAGGGATGAGGGAAAGTAAGGGAAACCAACAGTCCAGTAAGGTACTGAATATCTTTTTGACTAAGATGGTAGTTGCATGCCTGAAAAGATTGAAGCAGTTGTGAACTACTCTGAATGAAACCCAGAAAAGACTCTGTGACTTTCTGGGTGCAGGGGAGCCAGGAAAAGGAGATGAGAAAATCACGGGTGACAGGGTACACAGGAGGTACTGCAGACAGCAACAGAACATTTCTGAGAGAGAGCTACTTTATGGGGAAACATAAACAAAAATTTCAGGTCTGTTTACACACTCATGGATATTTCTTTGGCTATATATGTCCCGAGACCCCCTCCAACCTAAGGTTTTCCTATTTTGCTCTGAGTACTCATGACACGAAATCTGTAGCACCGTTAAATGGAAAAATACCACCATAAAAAGCCTTACAACTATTCATTTTTTTAATTGAGTAGTAGTTCTTTATATATTAGGAAATGAACCCTTTGTCTACATTATGCATTGCAAATACAGCCCTTGACCCATCTGTCATTTGACTTTGTTTATGGTGGTTTTTACCAGGTCGATTTTTTTTTTTTAAGATTTTATTTATTTATTTGAGAGAGAGACAGTGAGAGAGAGCATGAGCAAGGAGAAGGTCAAAGGGAGAAGCAGACTCCCCATGGAGCTGGGAGCCCGATGCGGGACTCGATCCCGGGACTCCGGGATCATGACCTGAGCTGAAGGCAGTCGTCCAACCAACTGAGCCACCCAGGCGTCCCATACCAGGTCGATTTAAATTTTTGCAAGCTCAAATATACAGTAAAGGAGACTTTTAACACAGCTAATGCCAGCGCTACTAAATGTATATTAAAAGAGCAGAGTGGGGTGCCTGGGTGGCTCAGTGGGTTAAACCTCTGCCTTCGGCTCAGGTCATGATCTTGGGATCCCGGGATCGAGCCCCACATCCGGCTCTCTGCTCAGTGGGGAGGCTGTTTCCCCCTCTCTCTCTGCCTGCCTCTCTGCCTACTTGTGATCTCTGTCTTTCAAATAAATAAAATCTTAAAAAAAAAAAAAAAAAGAGCAGAGTGACTCATACATACATAAGTACTGATAACGCTAATAAAATAAAGATTGTTACTGGCCACCTGACTGGGCAAGCCTGTGTGCCTGGCATCCTGCTGTGGGCTCCACGAGACCTTCTGACTGCACCCTCAAAACCCCAAG